AAACATCCCTGCCTGGTCTTTTATTGAGACCTCAGATAAAAGCAGCATGCCATCATAAAATGAGACTGGGTTGTGACTAAAAATCAGTCATTTCAGGCTATGTCATTGAAATTTCAGTCTGAAGACAATACAGTCCATGCCAAGTTGTTGCTTAGTAACTTAACATAATACCTATGTAATTTTAAATTTCAGTGATTTTTCAAAGGTTACTCGGAAAATTACCAAACACAAAGACATAAAAGACAGTAATGAAGAATTAAATTGCATGTTGACCAATGTCAAATATCATACAAGAAGTAAATTGTCTGTCAAAGAATAAACATGAATTAAACTTATTTTTTACTGAAAATATTCAATTTGATGGCACTTGAAGTCTTCAGAATATTTTTGTTTCAATCCTTTTCCTTCTGACCATAGGCTTTATCCATGCTCTCAGGGAACTTGATGCATGATTCAAAGCATAGTATTGCTTTTCTAGGAAGGAAACTGATGAGACAAACACAGAGTTAGGTTTGTTTTTTTTAGAAAAATGTACTCTATAAATAAAGAAATTGTAAATTTATTATATTTGCTCAGTAATTCTAATGTCTGGCAATAACACATTTGGTGTTTCCCCCATGTTATAAGTGAGGGAAACGAATGACAGGCCAAGCCATTTTGCAAAAGCCCAGCCAGCAGTGGAGGCGGTGACTGGAAGCAGACAGTTCTAGCCCAGGCATTACTCCCAGTGTACCATATCATGAAAATTCTTGAAATTTCTATACTCAACTGTAGCTTAAGACATATATTAGAGACAGAAGGGGCCAGAGGAATGCTATTCACCTTACACTATTAAAAAATTAAAACCACTGTTTCTTCAAAGTTGGGTACCTATAACTGGATTGACTGCAGGAATATTAACTAAAGGACTGCTTTTACTAAACATTTCTGCTGATTTTACAGGCATATGGCAAAGGAAAGAAGGCAATGCTAGAAGACAAGACACATGCTTACGTTTTCAAACCCAATAAGCGTAAAGTTGGAGGCATGATTAGATAAAACTTTTCCTTTTTAATTGCATTCAAGATCTTGCAGGCTACATACTCTGGATCATAAACAGGAAGCAAAAGGGGTTTTCTGTGAAACAAGAAAAAATTGTTATGGAATTATAAAACTTTGCTTTTGAGATGTATTCTAACACATATGTAATTAACTAACTTATGAATTTTTCTCCTTCCCCTCAAGTAGCCTTGAAGAGGAATCTCCAGATTTCTTTGTTCCTGCTATCATCAGAATAAATTGAAAACACTTTGATGATGTTTTGAATCTTAATGAATTTAGAGCAAGCAGAGCATAATGAAGTTAATGCCCACAATGATTGCAGCATTTGAAAACTTCCAAGCTTAGCCATACTATATTCTCTTCTACGCATAAAGTTCTGCCTTCTGCGCACCTCCTCCTTTTCTACTGTGGATGCTGAGGTGACAGCTAAGTAGATCAGAACCAGGTCTGTCTCCAGCCAGGAGAAAGGCTGTGCTCTGCATAACATATGCTCCTGCAGGATGATGAATGGTGGAAGCAGGAGCAGAGCACTGACAAACCAACAACACTGCTACCGTGCTACTACAACGGCTAATTCAGTGCTTGCAGCCTCTCCAATTACTGCACCCATAGTCTCCCACCAGATACTGTCACCACAGCTATTCCCTCTCAGAGAAGTACAGTACCTGCTAATACAGCCCATGGGGCACAGTTGATAATGACAGGTCATAGGTATCCTGACAGCCATAACTGTAATCACACTGCCAAAATTACTTGCGGCAGCGAACATCAGCAGTGTCCATTCTACTGACAATTAAGGCTCCCTTTAACCCTTAAATACTGCTGTGCATCCCAAACCATTCCTTGACTGTGAGGTTATTACAGTCCCTGTTGCACACCAGTTATTAACTGTATGCAAGACTTGCATTTCTTTAGATCAAAAGACATAGTTTTATGTGCCAATAGGGCAAAACCACTGAACTGAAAATCAAATCAACCAGCTAGAGACTGAATATGGTATATCTTGTGAGTAGTGATTATTTTTTACATATGAAATAGTACACAATCTCTTTTACTTACGCGCTTTGGAAACCTTTACTTAATTTAGTGTGAACAAAATAAGGGCAAATGATTGTGGTTTTAATGCCATGTTTTCCTGCATGATACAGTTCTGAATTTATGCCTTCCATCATTCCAATGATTGCATACTTGCTTGCAGCATAATCTGAAAAATGAATAAAGAAGAAATATTCAAAATCTCAAAAGCGCCACAGTAAATGCTATATACAGAATTTAACTCTTTGTAATAATATTTAATCCATTATATTATTTAGTTCTTTAATTAGCAGTCTTTTAATTAGTATTTTAAGCATATTGGTGATGCTAACTCTGAAGGTTAATGACTCTTCCTGTGGTTGATGCACACTTGTCTAAGGATAAGATTAATCCTTTCCAGAGCAGTTTTTTTCAGTGCACTATAGAGTGATATAGGAAGATGAACTTATTCAACCTTTTATGTGCATTTCCAGATACTCATGTACGAAGCAGACATTCTTTCAGTTCAGAATGTCTTCACCCTTCAATATCACAGGTTACATTTCAGAAAGAACTGTTTCTAGTGGTAAAATATAAATACCCTACTTATAAATGCTGCTTTAGCCTATTGCTTCTGATTTACCCTGCAACTTTTTGTTTTGTTTTCCCAGGAAGATGGAATCTGGTCAGAATTTTATTTTTGATGAATGTACGGAACTCCATCCTTGGTGATAATCAAAACTTGCCCTCACACAACCCTGTGAAACCTGATCTAAGTTGGGCTTGCTTTTATTTGGATATGTGGACCAAATGACCTTCAGAGATTGCTTCCAACCAAATTATTCTACAATTTTACAGCTGTAAGAAACTAATATAGTGATTTACATGTGGTTTCCTAAAGTTTTTTCAAATCTTTGTGTAAATAGTTGTTAGATACAATGAAATCCAATTTTGCTAAAAGAGTGACTTCAAAGACTGGCATCAAAGTTAGTTTGCTATTCTTCAGGACTTCACCCCCAGTGAATAATGGAACCACACAGCCTAAAAATAAATAGCTAAGGTGTAAAAGGTTAAAACATGGATGCTCAGATACACTCCCATAAGTCTTACAGTTATATGATGAAACCTGAACATAACCTATATTATCAATACCAAATATGACCCAATGATAACAGGTCACAAATGAACACTACAGTAACACCATCAATCAGAAGAAGAAACAAGAGACACTTATTACACCAAAGTTCAGATTCTTAAGGAGTGTCCTCGGAGATACAATCAACATGTAAGACAGGCTTGAGGAAAGACTGGGCAGCAGACCCAGACTGATGAAATAGGCAGGACTATAGCAGACTGCTCTCCTGAGGGATACAGCTGAGAATATTGAGTTTTTACATAGCTTAAAACTTTAATCAAAATAATTTTATTGAAAATTCTGCCAAAATGCCTTCTGGACCTGAAAATCATTTTCCAGCTAAATATATAGTTCCAGATATAATCCGTGTCTCAGGACTCTGAAGAAAACCTGGTGTGAGAAAGAGTTAGACAACCTGTATGCAGTTTCTTCCCACTGCACACATACGAGCTGTATTGTCCTTATTCTGCCGAGATAAGACAGTGTGTAATCAGACAGTAAAATCTGCAGTGAGCTCCCAGTACCACTTAGGCAACGTGACACTGTCACACTCGTTGGTACAACATCACCCTTGGCATCCACAGGTTCTTGTCAGTATAGGTTGCTTAAGCCAAGCATTTGTTAGGTCTCAGAGAAAAGTCATTTTATGTAGATCTAATTTGTAATGGCAGTTGACAATACTAACCTGTCAGTCTGTAGAGTCCCAGTAATCCGCTTGCACTGGCTGTGCTAACCAGGTGCCCACGGTTACGGGCCATCATGGCTGGAAGAAAAGCCTTGCAAGTCTAAGAGAATATACATATATTAAAAAAAACCCTTTATAAATAGACATGTCAAAAAAGTTGCATTTCAAAATTAGGCTTTCTGGGGCTTCATTATACAAGAAGCCCAACTGACATTTTATCTCTGTAACAATTTTTAAATGATAGACAAAATTTCCTTGAATGACTGCCCTCTATTTGATGATCTAACAGCATTAAAATTGTCTTATTAAAAGCAGCAAAGTTTCTATTTTCTCTGCCTCCTGGTTCCTCACGATTTGAGTCTGTTTGAGAGTATTGCCAAAGGTTTGGTACACAAGAGGGAGCTAGAAGTCAACACATCAAGGGAAGTTCAGCTGCCTGTGGGCCCTTTTTTTTACAGACTGAATTTCCAGACAACCCCAGCATCCCAGACCACCACTGTGGGTGACACTAACTGAGGAGAATGCTAGTGTTTTATGAAGGGTTAGATAAAAAAAAGAGACAAACAACAACAATTTTTTTTCAATAGCTGAGATGTCCTATTTGACTCCAAATGTGAGTACCTAGTATATCACTATCCTCCTGCCCAGTGTTTCTTCAGACCTGTCAGGGGGAACATCTCTCTCAGTCCGTTTGCCTCAAGTATTTGGAAGAATGATGCAGTGTGGCTGAGGAATGCTTAGAGGACTCTTACCTGCAAGGATTTTCCATGGAGAACCGCCTTTTAACAAGGGAGTTGCAATGCTATATTGTTCCCTGATGCAAGCTGTTCACTCAGGCACATAAACAAAAAATGCAAGAGGGGGCAAGAGTAACACTCCCTCACAACAAAACCTTCTAAAGGTCAAATGAGAGCCCAAATAACAACAAATTCCTTCAGAGGTAAGAAAATAAAACAAAGATAATACTTCCTATCCACATTACTTTTCTATGTACTTTAATCAGGTGGTGGTTAGGAATGAAAGCACAGCCTGAAGACTGACACCAAAATGTGCAGCAAAAAATGATTGGAATAGAACAATTTAGGTTGGAAAAGAACTTTAAGATCACTGAATCCAACTGTAAACCTAACACTGCAAGTCAACCACTAAGTTATGGTTGTGTCTCCCTGAATGCTACAAGTCCCTTAGACAAAGACTTCTAATGCCAGCAAACAGGGAAGACACATGCCATCATGTCAGCACTAACTTCAGCCACAGCTGTTACAGGTAGAGCATGTTTCATGGTACAGTTGCACAAACTTTTGATTTACCAGAGTGCTCAGGCAGGTTTGTGTTATTACTACTGAAACATAATGGGGAGAGTGTCAATTTGGTGTGTTTCCAATTACAGGATGATTATGAAAACATATTCTCCCCCAGTCGAGGCCCTTCACATCCCTATTCCAAATCGGGGTTTTGAGGTAGACACCACCATGGTGATTTTCACACCAAAACACTTGACTCAACCTTTTGGTCACCCAGAAAAAAAAAAACAACAAACCACAAAACTTTACCCAGACTTGAGAGAAGAAGTTGATTCTGAAGGTCTTTTCAAAATCTGCATCTGGAATGTCACAGAACTTCTTCCCAATCAGTATGCCAGCATTATTGATTAGAATAGTAACATCTCCAACTTCTTTTCTAACCTGAATAAAAAAACCATAAAGTTTTAGAAGGTATCCTTGCCTCTTGCGCTTCATTTATGAAAATGTTTAGTGATATTTGCAGTATTTGATATATCTACTGAAAACATAACTACTTAAGAACTGTTATATTGCTTCAGATCAAAGGTCCATCTAAGCCTCCTAGCCCTTGTCTCATGGTTGAAAGCAATAAAAAAAGGACGAGGGCTCTAAGGTCTCCAGTGTACTTAACTTTTCACGTGCTGCAACTTCAGAGCTTCCTGAGAGACATAAGGTATCAGTATCTTTGTATTGAATATATCCCAGTGATTCTCCACCCCATCTCACTCCCTGAATTTGTCTAATAGCTCCCTGAACTCCAGAATACTTTTGGCTTCCACAGGAATATAAGGCAATAAGTTACAAAGCTTTAGTGTGCACCGTGAGTGTGCTTTAGCTCCAATCGGAACATTTCTTGTCCCATATTTTTGGTATTGTGAGAGACTGCATTCCTCAGACAAGCCTGTTTAACCCCTTTTCTATATAATTTCTCCTGAACTGGAAAGAATTCAACGCAGATTTCTGGGGATACCAATCCTCTGAGGACATACCATGAAGTAGATAGATAACATCACTTGGAAAGAAGGCCAAAATCACCGTTAGCTCTATTATAAAAAGATTTTGGTTTATTATAAAAGATTTTGTCCCAAGATTTGGATTTATATCAAAGCAGATGGCCAAGATTTATTCATAGTATTAAGAATCAGTCTCACTGCAGAGATTCCTGTGCTAGAGGTGAGTGGTTATCCAGTGTCTCAAAAATTATAGTATGAATACAAAAGCATAAAAGTCCCATACATGCTGCTGTCTGGCAATTTGGAAACAGGTACTTCAATCTGATACCCCAACATCTGACCTTCCTTTGGCTCTCTCAGGGAACCTTAGCATTCAGTGAAGACTTGCTTGATACTCCTTCAGCTGTGTCAGGTTTAATGCTTGTCATAGAAAAACAGCGTTCAGATATTAGCACCATTCCACCTGCACAAATGAATGCAAATCTAGACACTACTGAGTATGGCAGGAATACTCAATTCTTCCTTCGTGGGCTGTATCTGTGCTTTCTTCCCACTTATATCTTTTAACTGCTGTGTCAGTCCATGTGATGATCCTGTTTTTCTTCACTTGACAACACAGCTTCACCAGCCAGCATTTTATTTAACCTGGCTTCATTTGACCTGTTTGCTCACTACTACAAAATACATGTGAAGCTTGGCTTCCATTTGCAAAAAGTCAACCTGATTATTATACATTACGTATTTTGTGAGGTGTCTATTACTTCCTCTCTTTATTATAATTTCTACCAATTTTCTCTAAGACAAGATCGTAGTTTGTGGCCTCTCAAGTGCACTTTAAAACTGGAATATTTGCTACTCTTTGTTTCTGGTCACATGTTGTAGCAAAACACACCCCCCACATTTCCAGCCCATCAGATCCATATCTGATTTCCTTCAAAATTCCCAAGTGGATACTGCCTGATCCTGAAAATTAGTTGCTGTTCACTTCACCAGTTTATTTTTAAAACCTCTTCTTTAGGGACTTTGGTTGTTTGATTTGCTTCCCATAAAGAAAGCTCTCATTATCGGAAAATACCTAGGTTTTTCTGCAGTGAGTATATCAAATAAAAACAATTAATTTAGCTTTTTTGCTATTGCTTTATCTTCTGGGTCTAAGCTCAAGACTTCTCAGATTACCAATCAAAAAGTTGAAGGTATTTTCAAGAGTAGAGGAGGCATCTAGATGAAAGACCCTTAAACTAAGAAAATTTCTCGCTTCATCATGACAGTTCAATACATGCAAATATCTATGAAGATGTTGATATTGTTAACAATAATTTAACACCTTAACAGCAATTTTTGAATTTTAAACAACTCTTCAAACTTCTGTTGGTAGGTCAGTCTGCGCCCTGCAGTATAGTGTTTGCTGATATGTGCACAGCAAATTCTGCAGGCTGGAGCCCTGCGGCTCATTTGGTTAATGTATTTGGAGATTGAAAATTACTGGAGGGCACAGAAAAAACCTTTTGAGACTGTGTTAAACTAAAAGTAAACAAATAATTTAAAAATGTTCAGCATGGACATTGAAGTCCAACAAAGAAATTAACTGCATAAGCCTAAATTACACCTTTTGGTGCATGTCTTTGCAAGAAGCAGACAGCCTTTATGGGAAGTGGACTTTAATGCCAATTTGAAATGTTATCTTTTAAAGAGATTTGATCTTGGCAAATTCTAAGGTAAGTTTTTATTTTTACTTGCAAAAAATAAGATTTGAGAAGAACTGTTGGTTTTTTATAGTATCATTTCAAATAAAGATCAAATGTCATATATGAAGTACTGACCACAAATTGCTCAGAAAAAGTTTTCATCTTGCTTGGAAGTGATAACAGATATGAAGATTGCTGAAATCACTGTGATTGCTACTCCAAAATTGTTGCAGTCATTATCAATGTCTCACACAGGTGTCAGGATCACATCATCTCTCCTGACCAAGTCATTGGCAAAGATAATCCTCCTTGAACACTGCATATTGTGTCAGCACAGGACAGACCACTCAACAACTTGCTCATCTGCACTTACATGCTGTTATGGTACAATAAATACACCACTGCCCAAGGATTACCGTGGTACCACCTGTGGTTCTTAACATTTAGGACCAATGGCTCTAAGCGGAATTTTTTCTGTGCACAGTCAGCTGTCTGTGTCCCTAATGGTGCTAACAAGGGTGGGTAAAATAATACCTTGTTGACTGCAAATGTGAGAATTGCAGTTTCAGATACTTACAGATCCTGAATCCAACTTACCTTTTAGAAGAACTTTGCATTGGGAACATTTCTTGAGGGAAAAAAAATGTTTCAAACTTTCATAGCCATGCTTAGAAGGAATTAATTTGTTTTGGTTAAAATTAAAAGCAACAACCATGAAACAAAGAGCCCCCCCTTACAATTTTCATAGAAAATTAATGTTACATTTCAAGGCCATTCTGAAACAATCTATCAACAATCACGTCATGAAATGTTTTAGCTAATTTCTCTGATATATGCCTTCAGACACTGAACAGTGTATGTTCTTATATAACAGAAGAATTTATCCTTGGATAAAATGTCAGAGTGGCTAACTGGATTATAAGTAAGGCTATACTGGGAAATATTTTCAGGCAGTTTAAGGACAAGTAAAAAGTAACAATGTGAATGTCCAATTTCTAGACTCTGACAATAATAAAAGTAAAAAAAATAATAATTAAAGAATGTAGGTCAGCCCAGCAAAAGACTTTAATTTAAAATGGAGGTCTTTCCTACCTTACTTCCCAGCTATATTGACCAAAAAATAAAATGAAGCTGAATCATCATTTTGACTGGAGACCCTGATGACATTTCTGAAAACATTATACCCTCAAAGAATTACAGTTTTCTATACAAATGGGCAAGGGAAAGAACTCCCCTCTTACAACATATACTGATTTTTTTCTTTTTTTTTTTTTAATTTCTTGATATCTTGAAGAAATTTCAAAGCCTAAACAAATATATGAAGATAACCTCTGCTGCGTGTTTTACCATACTCTTAATATAGAAGAAGTTACTGTCTCACAATGAAGACTAAAAATGGATAAATCTCAACAGAACCTCTTAAATCCAGTTACTTTATTGAGAACATAGTTTAACTAAGGTCCATCTAGAAGTGACTTGTTGAAAAGACAAAGTCATTGCCCTACATGATTTCTTATCTTTAGTGAATAGAAACAGTTTCTAAAAAGAAAAAAAAAAGAAAAAGAATCCATAGCATATACTATTAAAAAGAAGCAAGAAAAATCAGAAGTAAGAAGTCAAATCTTACCTTGTCTGCCTTTTCATAGATATCCTCTCTACTGCTGCAGTCACAATGATAGACAAACACCTGGTTAGCTCCTTTTTCTTGGGCTAATCTGCATGTTTCCTTGTTACCTTTGTCATCGATGTCCCAAAGAACCAAAGTCACTCCCAAAGGAGCAAATTTTAAGGCAATCTGCCTTCCAATCCCATTTGCAGAACCAGTAATAAGAACTATTTCACCAGCAAAAGATTTTTTGCGTAGAGGACATATACAGATGAGATTCTCAATAAATAAATAAAAGAAAAATTTCAGGTACTGTAGTAACTTCCGGATGCATCTGAAGTTTAACATGATTTTTCAGGTACAAGCACCACTCTTCTGTAATTCAAATCCAGAAATAAAATACATTATGACACTGAGATATTGACTAAAAAAAGAGGTTGACCTTCAAACAGCCATTTCTTTTGCATTGTTCTTTTCTGCATGTACAAAATACATTATTAAAGATTTGCTTTGTGAAATATACCGGATCCTCACTAGTAGAATTAAAGCAAATATCTTCTGCTAGATCCTATAGACCTTCTGTTTCATCCTGGGGTCCTCAGCTTCCATCTCCTTTTTTGAAAAGATTAACTCACATACATTTAAAACAGGTATGTTGAGTCAATACCTACAGAGCACTTCGTTTTCACAGCGAGGTGATGTTAGCTGAACAAAAAGGTACTGAACACACTGGTGTGGTATCAACCTTAGGAAGGAAGGTGTCCTCCTTAGCAGCAAACGTTACCTGCTATTTCGGGAGGCAGGCAATCGGAACGTTCCCACACTGTGTGTATTTTCCAGTGCCGTACGGCCGTAATCACACCACGTATTCCCATTTGTGAGCAAATTGCCAGTCACAGGCAAAAGCCTAGCAGTTAGGAGCCTTGATTTTCACCCTACATTAGACCGTACCGCTTCCTTTACGGGAAGAGCGAAGCTCAGGAGAAGGAGCGCCCGTCACCGACACGCCGGGCCCGTCCCGCCGCCGGGCTGTGTCCCGGGGGGGGAGGCTCCAATCTCCCCGCGGCTGCGGCCCCCTCGCCCCTTCCCCACCAGCCCTGGCCCTGCCTCAGCGGGGCTGAGCGCCCCTCGCTCCTCCCGCTCCATACCCCCGTCGGGTCCCGGCCCCGTCGGGCCCCCGCGCTCACCGCCGGCTCCTGCCTGCCCCGCACTGCCCGCCTGCCGCGGCCCAGGGCTGGTATTACCCTGCCCGGCCCGGCCCGGCCCGCCCCGAAGGTTGGGCTCCTTGCGGGGGCGGAGGCGGCCCGAGGAGGTGCAGGATGCGGGGCCGGGGCTGGGGCAGGCGGCGCTTCCCGGCTGGGCGGGTGCGGGATGCCGGATGCCGGCGGGGCCGCCCGGCTCTGCGGCAGAGGGTACCAAGCCTTGCCGAGGGCACCTATCGGGTGGCAGCCGCCGCTACCGGGTCGACATATCCCGCTGCTGCTGCTGCCACATCGGCGGCCCTCCCGCGCCTGGCTGGCCCGGCCATCGGGAAGGCACCGCAGGCTCCATCCCGCTTGGAGAACCACCTGGCCAAGGGCTTGGATAGCAAGGGATCTCTCCTCCCCCTGCTGCTACTTCGTAGCAGTTACCAAGTTAAAAACTTCTTACTTTACATCATAAATTACTGTTCACCGACTTGCCGGGATGAGAGCAAATCATAGCTGATCATAGACGTGTCTCCCTAAAACAGTGAAACCCCACGATTATCATTGTTTCTTGTGGGTCCTCAGTTTTCCACACATGCCTTATCCAACCTTAAAACCACAGTTCTGCACCACTGAGGCATCACTGTATTTTCCCCAAGTTTGAATAGAAAGCCACGCTCCTACCTAGGTCCTTAAGAATGTGCTTTTCCTGTGGTGTTATCTGCTTGTCTCGATCACCTTGACATCTTCCACCCTGTTTACATAAAAAGGCAATAAAGAGAGCACTACTTTATTTGCTGTACTTTGAATTTTGAATAAGTGATACTGAAAGTCTTTTTTATCAGCAAGTCATAGAGGGAAATTATTTGAAAAAAGTCACAGTATGCTCTGATCCACACAATTCAGATTAGACTTCACGGGGATTAACAGGGTATTTTTCAGGTAAGCTGAAATGAAATTATAGTTCACATAATTTGATGTAATTTACACCAAGAAATATGGTGGAAAATTCTAGGCTGTCAGTGTGAATAGTTATATGGAAGGGATGTGCTTTCATACACGATTAACTGTTGAATATTCTGTTTAGGTGCCAGCAAAAGGGGAAGCTGAAATACACGCACTGAGGCTGAAGGCAGATCTAAAAGCCTCAGTGAGCTGTGGTTCCAAACAAGGCACCAAGCAATGCAAAATAGGTGGGTAAGGTAACTCCAAGTGTCTCACTGTAATCGGTAATTATATGGCAAAATCAGCAGACTATGGTGAGGGGAAGCTGAAATGATTCAGCAATGAATTCCTGGTTATGAAACAAACCAGAGGAGATGCTTGTTTATTATGATGACACTTCAAGGTGAACAACATTGGTGAGGAACAGTGTTGCAACCAGAACTTTGCAAGCTGTAAGTTAACAGGAGAAGCCTGTTTCCAAAGCACGTGGTTATGCAAGTATGAGAACACATCACTTCCCTGCTCTTACGCTGAATTGACCTAAGAAGCAGCTAGCTATCATTCTGTACGTAGTGACAATGACAGCGACGATTAAAAATTTGTATACCTAGATTAGAGGCTTCAGTGTGGTAGTGAAGTATTACAGCTTATTGCTAGCTTTAGGTAAAGAGTGGATGTAGTAAGTGACAAGGGACTTGGGGGACACACAGTGATTTTGGATAAGTTACATTCTGCTCACCAATAGCTAGATTTGATGACACCTTTAGAGACTTGTTTAGCATTTGGAGATTAAATATCTGTGTGGCTTTTTGTCTTAGTTTTGTCCCAGTGTTTCATAACACTGAATTTTGTCGTCAAACAGAAACTTCTTTTCCTGGTTGATGTATGCACCACAACTTGTCTCTAGCCCCAAACTTATCTTTCTCCACAATTAACTTCAAATTTGTACCAGAAGCTCCATTTCCAAATGATATTAAAAGCACAGGAATGAAATTTTCCACAATGTTTGACTGCACTGGAAAAAAAAAAAGCCATGAAAACAGCCCCATGAGTGGTATTTTTATTATTGACCTTCCAGTAACAAACCTTCATGTCTGGCATTTGTTTTAATCATAACAAAGCTATTAAACATACGACACAGAGCAAATGCACAAATAAATAAATTTAGGTTCACCACTAACAAGGTCAAGAACACAAATAACCACACAGCCGAGAATGCCTAAAGATCACAGTAAACCAGCATCTTTATGTACCACCGAACATTTTGTACATACTCCATGTTATGAGAACTTAAGACAAGTCATAGGAGGCTGTCATGGTTTAACCCCAGAGAGCAACCAAGCCCCACACAGCCACCCTCTCACTCCCCCACCAGTGGGATCAGGGAGAGAATTGGGAGTGTAAAAACTAGAAGACTCATGGATTGAAATAAAGACAGTTTAACAGATAAAGCAAAAGCTGTGCACACAAGCAAAGCAAAACAAGGAATTAATTCATTGCTTCTCATGGGCAGGCAGGTGTTCAGCCATCTCCAGGAGAGCAGGGCCCCATCACACGTAACAGTTACTTGGGAAGACAAATGCCATCATTCCAAACATACCCTCTTCTTCCTTCCTCCCCTGGCTTTATATACTGAGCATAATGTCATATGGTATGGAATACCCCTGTGGTCAGGTGGGGGCAGCTGTCCCAGCTGTGTCTTCTCCCAATTTACCATGCACCCCCAGCATCCTCACCAGAGTGGCAGTATGAAAAGCAGAAAAGGCCTTGGCTCTGTGTAAGCACTACTCAGAAATAACAAAAACAATAAAAACATCTCTATATGTAATCATTGTGTTCAGCACAAATCCAAAACAGAGCTCCGTACTAGCCACTGTGATGAAAATTAACTCTACCCCAGGTAGAACCAGCACAGAGGCATATCAAATTAAGCCTATCAAGTCTATTACAATAAATCACTATCCTTTATTTCTGTGCATAAGAATCGGTTAAACACGTGCTAAAATCTATCCACGTAGAGAGGGATTTGGCTGAGGTTTTCTCGTGGTGTAAATCCTCTGGCACACTTACAATTGTCAAGGTGACAGTATTTCAGTATATGCTTGTTGTGATACATGGAATTATCAAAACTGCTGCAGACCTTGCATAGTAAATGTAAGTATAACTAATTTTATTAGCCTTTTGATTGGTAGTAAAGATTAGAGTTAGAGAATTACCTTCTATTCTCAAGCCATCTGGACCTTTTGAATATTTCTGGTGGATTACACATTGACCAATTGATTGCTGAGAATGTGAAGATGCTTACTTGCAAGGTGCTGAGGTGAATGATATTGAGAAGCATCTTCACTGCTGAGCTGCAATAGGTGATTAAAATATATGTTATTAATTACTAATAATTACTATATCCTACAGCTTTTTATAAATAGTTATTAAGTATTTATCAATATATTAATAAGACATTTGTGTACTTATCATCATCATCATCATCATGGCTGGGCTTCATGAACGAAGATTTGGGAAGGGCTCTACCCATGTTTGTTACAAGTGCGTTGGTGGCTAAAAAGGCCACGTTCGGTTGCAAAAGGCACAGCAGAAAGACTCCTTAGGAGGTATATTCTGCAAGGCTGGATTTTTTCTGCATTGTCTTTTCTCCTCAAGAGTGATCCTGCGTGCTTTCTCAAAAGCATCAGCAGCGTTATAGACAGTGTGTCTCCAGACCTCCCGGTTGGAGGCCAGAGTAGACCAGTTATGTTGATCAATGTGGCCAAGGCTGAGATGTTGTTTCAGGGAGTCCTTGTATCTTCTCTTCAGGGCTCCTCTCATGCGGCAGCCGGTGGCAAGTTCACCATAAAGCAGGATCTTAGGGAGGCGGTGGTCCTTCATCCTGGAGATGTGTCCTACCCAGCGCAGCTGTGTTCTCAGCAACATGGCCTCAATACTTGTGACTGCTGCTTGTTCTAGAACAGATGTACTGGTTACATAATCTGACCAGTGGATATTTAGGATTGTACGAAGACAGTGTTGATGGAAGTGTTCGAGGAGTCACAGGTGGTGGCGGTAGATGACCCATGATTCGGATCCATATAAGAGAGTAGACAGCACAATGGCTCTGTAAACACTGATCTTTGTATTCTTCAAGTGTTTATTTCGCCAAACTCTTTTATGGAGTTTTCCAAAAGCACTATATGCCTTTGCTAACCTGTTGTCTATCTCCCCGTCAATCTTACCATCCGAGGAGATGAGGCTGCCTAGGTAATTAAACTGCTGAACTGATTTGAGCTCTGATTGGCCAATGGTGATATGGGGATGATGGGGGACTTCCTGAGGTGCAGGTTGATAGAGAACTTCTGTCTTCTTTAAGCTGACTTCCAGCCCAAAAAGCTCAGCAGCCTCTGCAAAGCAGGATGTTAAACGCTGCAGGGCTGCTTCTGTGTGGGCGACAAGGGTGGCATCATCAGCATAAAGCAGCTCCCGGACAAGATGATTTAAGATCTTAATATGGGCCTTCAGTCGCCTTAGGTTGAACAGGCTTCCATCAGTATGATATCGAATGTAGATACCGTCCTGATCATCGAGGTCTGCCATGGCCCTTTGGAGCATCATGCTGAAGAAGACTGTGAATAGGGTTGGTGCAAGAATGCAGCCTTGTTTCACACCATTTCACACTAGAAAGGGCTCAGAAAGTGCATTGCCATATCTGACTTGGCCGTGCTGATCCTCATGGAGTGAGATAATCATTTTAAGGAACTTGGGGGGACAACCTAATTGTTCCAAAATCTGCCATGGACCTTTTCTGCTCACAGTATCGAAAGCCTTGGTGAGGTCAACAAAGGTTACATAGAGACCTTTGTTCTGTTCCCTACACTTCTCTTGCAGTTGTCTGAGAACAAATACCATGTCTGTGGTACTCCTGTTGGCTCTGCAACCACATTGGCTTTCAGGTAGAATTCCTTCTGCTATAGCGGGTATTAGTCTGTTCAAGAGTATTCTTGCCAGGATTTTGCCAGCAATGGAGGGCAGAGTAATACCACGGTAATTTGAACAGTCTGATTTAATTCCTTCCTTCTTATAGAAAGTGATGGTGACCCAGAAGCC